TAATAATTTTGAATTAACTTACAAACTTGCGCAGGTTTTTCCATTGGCACCTATATAAAGTATAAATTCACGTTGTAAGATTATGAAGCATTTAGAATGAAAAAATGTGTCAACTAACCAAATGGCCAGCATCTACAGATATAATCTCACTATGTTGACATTGTGATGCTTTAAGAAGAGACAGGTCTTTAAAACTACAAGGGAAAACCTACATTTATTAAGAATGTATAACTTTTGACTAAAAGTAAATTTCTATAATGCTTACTCGAAATTCGAATAATCACCAACAACAAATAGAGTGGGGCATTGAATTTTCGGTATTTGATGAAATGTAGTGTATTGTAAACTCACATCGTTAAAAAATGTATTCTAATATATATTTATAAATAAAATAATTTTAGATAAGCCTTGAGTTATGTTAAAAGGAAAAAAAAAAAAAACTTACAAACTCTTGATTTTTGGGGCATTTTAAGGTAGTTTCACCGGATGGCAATTCATATAATCCATATTGCTATATTATGTTTCATGAATCATTAATTTGAATTTTTAAATAAATAAATTAATATATAAAGAATTATTACTCACAACATAGAGATTAAGCATTTCAGGGTCCCAACTTTGAAAAAATTTGTTCATACTAAAATTAGCATGCGCCGTTTCTCTGTTAAAATTTATGATAAAAATTGGTTTGTTTAGCATTCATTCATTTTAAAATATCATAGGCACTTCTTACCTATTTGGCCATCTGTCTCTTCTTTTTGTAACGATTGTACCTTCAAGGACCCCTAATTTACAGGAAATAGGCCTAAGTATAGGCTCAATGACCAAAATACTAGAAAAAGTACCAGGTCGAAAAATTTCTGCCATTAACCTATAATTATCACGTGATTTATGATTGTTAAAACCGCGAAAGACACTGTATTAATAAAATATGATAGAATATTTTCTCACATGCAAGTTCCGCCGAGTGAATGCCCTATACCAATAATTGGTTTTTGAATTTTCGCCTCATCGATAAGTTGAAGAATATCTTGAGCAAAATCGGACCATATAACTAAATTTAATGATCTGATTAAATTTCAAACAACGATATGTAATAAACTAGTGTTTGGGGGAATCAGAAATATCTAGTCTGAACGAAATTATTTTATATTGGCGAATATTTCGAACTTCAAAAAAGTTCACCCAAGACCTTTTTTACTGATATTTTCACAGCTAATATTTTCTGAATTTTATATCCACTGTGAAATATCAACAGTGAGAATATCAGTAAAAAAAAGTCATTGGTGAACAATTAGGATCTGTATAATAAATCAGTTATTACATGTATTTGTCATCAATATTATTAAAATCCTGAATCAATC